CGCCCCCTGGTGGGCTGAGATGGCCACACACACACATACACACACACACACAAACAAAATAAAAAAAAAATAAAAAAAAAAAAAAAGAAAGAAAAGCCCACTCAGAGTGCTCAAAGGAGATTGATGCTTTTACATGACAGGAAGCTGGGTTGGTTCAGCAACTCGGCAGTATTGAGCTCCACATCCTTGTATTTTTCTTGGCTGTTACCACCAATGTGATGGCTGTAACATCTCCTGCCATCATACCCATGTTCCAAGCAGGAGGAAGGGAAGAGAAGTGGTAGTTCTAATTTTTTTATTTTGAGACAGGGTTCCACTAAGTTGCTAAGTTGCCTGGTGTGGGCTGGAACTTGCAGTCCTGTTCCCACCTTCCAGGGTGCTGGGATTACAAGTGTTTACCACTGTGTTTGCTACTATGCCTGCATCCTGTCATCTTGTCTCTTTTTTTTTTTTTTTTTTTTTTCAGTACAGGGTCTATAGGATCTCACTATGTAGATCAGACTCATAGTGATTCTCCTGTTTTCAGCCTCCCAAGCACTAGAATTATAGGCACACGCCACCACACCCATCTCAATTGCCATGTCAGTGTGCCCTGGGGGCAGGACCAACACAATGCGCCTGGGATCAAACCTGGCTGCTGCGCTCTGCCTAAGCAAACGCTTTAGTCCTTCGAGCTATCTGGCCAGCCCCCCCTTTTTTTTTTTAAGAGAGCAAAAGTTTCCCCAGAATTGTGCAGCAGATATATACTTGGTCACTTGGCCATCCTTACCTGTGATCAAATGAGAAGAATAGAAAGTAGAATTGTCATAGCTAACTTAAACATAGTATGATCCCTTACCAGGAGCTGGTACATTGCTGCTCTGAACCAAATTGAGGTTCTTGAAATAAGGAGAAATGGGGGTTGAAGACTGGCTCAGCGTCCTGTGGTGTTCCCAGTCCTGTCACATCCAAATTTATCATGAGCCTGGGGTGCCTTCCAGGGGCCAACAAAATCTAGAGGACCAAGGATTCTGAGACCAAAAGATGCCAGCTGACTACCTCAGGACTGAGTCGTTGGCTGTTCCCAACTGACCCAGCTGACTCCTGGGTACAGGGTCGAGGTTTTCAGCTTAGGATAAAGTAGGGCTTTTGCTGATTACTGAAATACTGGCCTCTCCCAGAACCAGCTCCCTCATGTGTTGTAGATTTACTAGGTGACACACTGTAGATGGTTTAGGGTGTCCTCACCCTTTCCTAGAGTAAATTATTGGAAACTGCTAAACTGTGGCTGTTAGGACCTCATCCCTCAAGTACACCACTTGGTCATTTTCTCTGACCCGCACACGGGATTGGGCACGGGAAGCTAGTGCTCTTTGGTTCATGCTCACTGCAGTCTGCTTGATAGGCTTTGTTAGTGATGGGCTGAAAAGTAAAGATTTCCTTAAATGTCTTAAACCAGTAAGGCACCTAGTCTTTGCCAAGGGGCTCTGAACCTAGGTTTAAGCATGGCATCAGCGTTGGCAGGCCATGCGCAGTTTGCTCAGCCTTCATGTCCTGTTTGCACAGAGCCTCAGGGCAGCAGAGGTGAGAGATTGGGGCCTTTGCAGGACTTTTCTGGGCATGTGTGTAGCGGTATTCCTGCTTTTCCTCAGCTTTTTGATTGTTCCCTGGCTGCTTTGGCTGCTCCAGTGGCCTCTGGCTCCTGCCATGGTAATGATCTGTTGCTGTTAATTGCAGTTGACAAGTACCCTGGGGAAAAATGCTGTTCACTCCTTGTGCTCTTGAGTTAGGTCAGCTGCTAGGACTTTCTAGGAAGCTATACAGGTCAGATAGGGATGTGACTCCCAGCCTGCTTGCTGCCTCCACTGGCTGCTGGTTTGCACAACTACTGGGCTTGGGAGGCTCCTCCTTTGAAGGCCTGCATCAGAGTTGGGGAGAGGGTAAAGGGAATCAGGTACATGAAGCACCACAAAACTCATTCTTACTGCTGGGATCCAGGTGGTTTTCTCTGACAGTCCAGGGAGCCATTTCACAATTCTGGAAAAGTTTGATTTTATAGTTTTGCCAGAGTTCTTGTTGCTTTCCTAGAGGTTTTTCCTAGGCTATAGAGGTCCAATTCTGGAAGTGTTTCTCTCCCTCTCAACTTCAAATACCTATGTCATTGTGTTTGAAGTGTATGACGTGTAAATATTTGGAGCTTTTGTTTCTGCACTGCTCTAATGGCATCCAGGGGATGGCATGTGCTAGGCAAGCCCTCTGCCATTGAGTGCAGCCTGTACTATTTTTTTTTAATCTATTCTGTCAAACTTCTTACTGGTATGGTTGGATTTAGAGCTACCATTTTGTTTAGTGTCTTTTTTTAATTTCTCCTGTTTTTTGAGTTATTTGATTTTTCCTTTTTTTTTTTTTCCTTCTTTCTTTTTTAAACAGGGTCTTGCTATGTAGTTGAGGCTAGCTTTGAACTGACTATGTAACCCCAGGCTGACCTCAAACTTGTGCTAATCCTCCTGCCTCAACCTCCAAGTTGCTGGGATTAATGGTGTGTATCACCACCCCTGGCTTTTATTTGAACATTTTTTATTCTGTCTTGATTTGCCAATTGTTTTTAATTCCTTAATCCCCTTTTATAGCATTCATGTGTTGCTCTGGGATTGCTGTACACTTAACTGCCTTCATAATCTGCTTCTAGTTTCCACCAAAGTAGAGAGTTCAAAGTAGAAAGTTGAGACTTCCCACTAGATAGGTCCTTTTATTTGTCTTACGAATTAACACCTGCAGACATTGAAAACTTCATCAGGTATTCAGCTTATTTTCTTTTTTGGGTAGAGGGCTGGATTTGCTGGGGTTGTTTTTTGAGACAGGGTCTTGCTATGTAGTTCGGTCTGGCCTTGAACACATGAACCTCCTGCCTCAGACTTCTGAGTGCTGGGATTACAGGGGTGCATCACCAAGCCTGACTGTGTATTGTCAAACATCAAATAGTTTTCAAGCTCTCAAGAGGAGAACAGTCTCCAATACCATCTAGGTTCGAGAGAGAGAGAGACAGAGACAGAGACAGAGACAGAGACAGAGACAGAGACAGAGAGAGAGAAAGGGAGAGAGGGAGGGAGGGAGGGAGGGAGGGAGGAGAGAGAGAGAGATCAACCAAGCAGATTGTGAGTATAATTGCTCAGGTACAATGGAATTGAAATGAAATGGGGGAAGCAAGTCACATGAATGCAGAACAGGAGCTTTTCATGTAGGGGTGGGTTAGTGGCTCTTCCTGGCTTTCTCAAGGTGATCAATACCTATTTAGAATATTAATCCCTGATTTTATCCTGATGAAGTATGCAGGTGCTTTTATCTTTATCTTGAAGTCTGACCCATGCAGAGGTGCTGCCTGTCTGTACCACAGTTACAAGGTATCTTGTTTCTGCACTGACTCATTTGAGGGCCTGGTCCTGTCTGACTACCTATATTTTTGTCTAATTCAGCATTATGGATATAGTCTGCAACCATGATGTCTGATAATAAATCAGTAGTAATCCATGTTATTCTATCATTGCTTTTTTTTTTCTGGATACTTTTGAGACTTTTTAGTGTAATAATCTCACCCTTATCCAGAACTCTTGCTTTCTGCCCTTTTAGTTACTTGCTGTCTGAAAATATTACATGGAAAATTCCAGAAATAAATGATTGGGGGGCTGGTGAGATGGCTCAGTGGTCTAAAGCACCTACTTGGAACAAGCTTAGCAAAGCACAGGGACCACGGTTCAATCCCCCAGCATCACATGCCAGCGAGCCCCGCCCCCTGGTGGACTGAGCTGGCCACACACACACACACACACACACACAAATAAATAAATAAAATTTTTTAAAAAAAGAAATAAATGATTTTTTAAATAAGTTTGGTTATAGTATTTTGTTATAATTGTTCTACTGTATTAGTATCTATTAATCTGTTTGTGTCCCTCGTTTCTAACTTAAACTTTATGATAGGTATGTGTCCAGGAGCAAACTGTGCATGCATAGGGCTTTGTACCAGGCTGGGTTTCAGGCATCTACAGATGGGGGAGGGGCTGTGTTTAAGAAGTTTGAGTATGATGTTTGTGCATGAATTTCCTTGGGTTTGTCTTCCTTTGTGGTTTGTTAAGCTACATTAATTTGTAGGTGTGTCTTCTATCAAATTTGATAATTTTTTTCCAATGTACTTCAATTTTGTGTTCTTTAGAAAAGTTCTGGGCCAGAGAGATGGCTCAGTAGGATAAGCGCTTCCCTGTAAGTGCAAGGGCCTGAGTTTAATCCCTGGTTCTGCCAAAAAAAGAAAAATTCTAAAATTTCCATTCAGTTCTGTCTATTTTTTTTTCTTTCATTTTTCTTTTTTCTCCTTGCATTAATGGGAGTTAAACTTAGATCTTTCACATAAGCTACATCCCCAGCCTTTCTTTTTTCTT